GTGTTAACACTACCTATTTATTAAGCATAAGTGCTTTTGAAATATTTCTTAAGTGCTGAGAGGCAAGAGGTTTACAGCAGGTAAATTTAAAAAAACAAACGTTCACTTTTTTCAATTCGTTATAAGAAAACATGCTCGTCTCCTATTAACAGCTCGTAAACAAATGCCTATTGTTAAAAAAACTAGGAATTCTCCCGCTACTTTGAAATGTCTGAATGCTGTAATTATTTATGAAATACCACTTCTTTGGAAATACTACTTAAATGCTTAGACAAGAGCTTTACATTAGGGAAATTTTACAAAAACCAAAACAAACGTTAGCTTCGTTTCAGTTCGTTACCAGAACGTATTAAAAACTAGCTGAACAAAGGACCTCCCCGTAAGGGAATTGAACCCCGGTCTCCAAAGTGACAAGCTGGGATACTTACCACTATAATAACGAGGACTTGTTGTGATTAGGCCTCAACCATTTTTGGAGCTTTTCAATGTCCTCAGAAGTTTCTTTAGAATATAGCTGAAAAGAAGAAACTCCCCTCTGGGAATTGAAAAGAAGATCCTCCCCGTCGGGGAATTGAACCCCGGTCTCCAACGTGACAAGCTGGGATACTTACCACTATACTAACGAGGACTGGTTATCTTTTGCCCTCATCCCTTTTTGGAGCTTTTCGATGTCCTCGGAAGCTTCATTAAAAGATAGCTGAAAAAAAGGACCTCCCCGTAGGGGAATTGAAAAGAAGAACCTCCCCGTCGGGGAATTGAACCATGGTCTCCAACGTGACAAGCTGGGATACTTACCACTATACTAACGAGGACTGGTTGTGATTAGGCCTCAACCATTTCAGGAGCTTTTCAATGTCCTCAGAAGTTTCTTTAGAATATAGCTGAAAAGAAGAAACTCCCCCTCTGGGAATTGAAAAGAAGATCCTCCCCGTCAGGGAATTGAACCCCGGTCTCCAACGTGACAAGCTGGGATACTTACCACTATACTAACGAGGACTGGTTATGGTTTGGCCTCATCCATTTTTGGAGCTTTTCAATGTCCTCGGAAGCTTCATTAAAAGATAGCTGAAAAAAAGAACCTCCCCGTCGGGGAATTGAACCACGGTCTCCAACGTGACAAGCTGGGAAACTTACCACTATAATAACGAGGACTGGTTGTGATTAGGCCTCAACCATTTTTGGAGCTTTTCAATGTCCTCAGAAGTTTCTTTAGAATATAGCTGAAAAGAAGAAACTCCCCCTCTGGGAATTGAAAAGAAGATCCTCCCCGTCGGGGAATTGAACCCCGGTCTCCAACGTGACAAGCTGGGATACTTACCACTATACTAACGAGGACTGGTTATCTTTTGCCCTCATCCCTTTTTGGAGCTTTTCGATGTCCTCGGAAGCTTCATTAAAAGATAGCTGAAAAAAAGGACCTCCCCGTCGGGGAATTTAAAGAAGAACCTCCCCGTCGGGGAATAGAACCATGGTCTCCAACGTGACAAGCTGGGATACCTACCACTATACTAACGAGGACTGGTTGTGATTAGGCCTCAACCATTTCAGGAGCTTTTCAATGTCCTCAGAAGTTTCTTTAGAATATAGCTGAAAAGAAGAAACTCCCCCTCTGGGAATTGAAAAGAAGATCCTCCCCGTCAGGGAATTGAACCCCGGTCTCCAACGTGACAAGCTGGGATACTTACCACTATACTAACGAGGACTGGTTATGGTTTGGCCTCATCCATTTTTGGAGCTTTTCAATGTCCTCAGAAGTTTCTTTAGAATATAGCTGAAAAGAAGAAACTCCCCCTCTGGGAATTGAAAAGAAGAACCTTCCCGTCGGGGAATTGAAAAGAAGAACCTCCCCGTCGGGGAATTGAACCCCGGTCTCCAACGTGACAAGCTGGGAAACTTACCACTATACTAACGAGGACTGGTTATGATTAGGCCTCAACCATTTTTGGATCTTTTCAATGAATTCTTCAACTATTTTAATACGTGTCTACACTAATTAATTGTTATGAAATATAAGTGCTTTGAAGTACTCCTTTAATGCTTAGACACAAGTAGGTAAATTAAAAAAAACAAAACGAACGTTAACTTTGTTTCAGTTCGTTACCAGAAAAAAATGCTCGTCTCCTAGCAACAGCTCCTAAACAAATGCCTATTTTTGAAAAAAATCTAGGAATTCTTCAACTATTATAAAACGTGTTAACACTAATTATTTATTAAGCATAAGTGCTTTTGAAATATTTCTTAAGTGCTGAGAGACAAGAGGATTACAGCAGGTAAATTTAAAAAAACAAACGTTCACTTTTTTCAATTCGTTATAAGAAAACATGCTCGTCTCCTAGCAACAGCTCCTAAACAAATGCCTATTTTTGAAAAAATCTAGGAATTCTTCAACTATTATAAAACGTGTCTACACTAATTATTTAAGCATAAGTTCTTTTGAAATACTACCTGAATGCTAAGAGACAAGAGCTTCACAGTCTAAGTTTTACCAGAAAAGGAAACGCTAACTTCGTTTCAATTCGTTACCAGAAATAACACTCATCACTTAGCAACAGCTCATCAACAAATAATGCTTAATGTTGAAAGACATTGGAATTCTTACGCTATTTTAAAATGTCTTATCACTAGATAATTATGAAATATAAGTGCTTTTGAAGTACTCCTTAAATGCTTAGATACAAGAGCTTCATAGTACGTACATTTTACAGAAAAAAAACAAACGTTAACGTTGTTTCAATTCGTTACCAGAAAACATGCTCGTCTCCTAGCAACAGCTCGTAAACAAATGCCTATTGTTGAAAAAATCTAGGAATTCTTCAAATATTTTAAAACGTATCTACACTAATTATTTATTAAGCATAAGTTCTTTTGAAATACTACTTAAATGCTGAGAGACAAGAGCTTCACAGTGCACAAATTTTACTAAAAAAACAAACGCTAACTTCGTTTCAATTCGTTACCAGAAAAAAACACTCATCCCTTAGCAACAGCTCATCATCAAATAATGCTTAATGTTGAAAGAACATTGGAATTCTTACGCTATTTCAAAATGTCTCATCACTAGTTAATTATGAAATATAAGTACTTTTGAAGTACTCCTTAAATGCTTAGATACAAGAGCTTCATAGTACGTAAAATTTACAGAAAAAAAACAAACGTTAACGTTGTTTCAATTCGTTACAAAAAACACGCTCGTCCCTTAGCAACAGCTCGTCAACAAATGATGCTTATTGTTGAAAGCATATTGGAATTCCCTACTATTTTAAAATGTCTGAACATTGTAATTATTTATAAAATATAAGTGCTTTTGACATACCACTTAACTGCTAAGAGACAAGAGGTTTACAGTATGTAAATTTTACAAAAAAAACAAACGTTAATTTGTTTCAATTTGTTACCAGAAAACACGCTCGTCTCCTAGTAACAGCTCGTAAACAAATACCTATTGTTGAAAAAACTAGGAATTCTTCCGATTTTTTGAAACGTTTGAATTCTCTTATTTGTAAAATATAATTGCTTTTGAAGTACTCCTTAAATTCTTAGACACAAGAGCTTCACTGTACGTAAATTTCACAAGAAAAGGAAACGTAAACTTCGTTTCAATTCGTTACCAGAAAACATGCTCGTCTCCTATTAACAGCTCGTAAACAAATGCCTATTGTTACAAAAAACTAGGAATTCTCCCGCTACTTTGAAATGTCTGAATGCTGTAATTATTTATGAAATACCACTTCTTTTGAACCCCAGTCTCCAACATCACAAGCTGGGATACTTACCACTATACTAACGAGGACTAGTTACGGTTTGGCCTCATCCATTTTTCGAGCTTTTCGATGTCCTCGGAAGCTTCTTTAAATGATAGCTGAAAAAAAGAACCTCCCTGTCGGGGAATTGAACCATGGTCTCCAACGTGACAAGCTGGGATACTTACCACTATACTGACCAGGAATTATGTTTTAGCCTCATCCATTTTTGGAGTTTTTCAATGTCCTTGGAAGCTTATTTCATAACATCATGTGACTATTCCACCACTGTGGTCAATGAAATTCACCAAGATAAAATATAGTGAACAAACAGACCTCCCATCGGGGAGTTGAACACTGGTCTCCACCGTTACACGCTGGGAGACTTACCACTATACTAATGAGGATTTGTCATCTTTGGCCTCATCCATCTTTGGAGTTTTGTCAATGACTCATTCTTCATTCTGATGAAAACATCAGAATGAGCCATCTCCAGAAAACATGTTTCTTGAGATATTTGAATGGTTATGGTCTTTCTATCTTTTACTTCAAACAACTCAGTGATGGTATGATGGTTTCAACAATTCAAATATGATTAATTTGTGTGTGTGTGATTTTTAGCTGAGATGGTTTTATTTCCTATGGAGCCCATTTAAGGGACATGGTAATTTTTTTAACTTTTGTTTTACGTCACAAAAATCACTTGTTACTGGAGTTGTCATGGCTGTCAAGGAGTCTGTGGACTCTCTTTTTTCCTGCTATATAAGGTATATTTACAGATCTACAGAAGACCAACAAACATGTAAAACAGGTCGCAGACATAGCGACATGGAGGGTCACTATGTCTGCTAAATTTGTCTTCAGCTCCTGATTATTTTTATATCTTGTAGCTCTTTTTACAATCTGATTGCTGTGCACCTGGAGAATATGCTAATTACTGAGTAATTAAGAACTTCCCTACAATTTTGTTCAGGGATGTTTCCTTTTTGAGCTGAAAAAAAAAACCCATCAAAGAAAATTCTCTGGAATACATGCAATAATGGGATTATAATAATAACCTCTAAAGAATCAGGGTGAAACAGTCTTGACTGAAAAACCACAATTTTGTTGAACTCTTAAATTGAAGATGAGATTGAAAACAGTTCCAGAAACATTTCAGGCCAGTTTGTGATCTTTAATCTAGTGACAATTAAACATTTATCTTTGACTTCAGAACATAACATAAATAAACAAACACAAATAAACCTATTATGATCCAAGTTATTAGTTAGGCTGAAAGGTAAACAAGATTATTTGTAACTATGAAGGAAATTAACTCTGTTGATGGTGATTTATAGCCCTCTGGTGGTGTAACAATTACATTACATTGTATTTACATGCATGGATTACATATATATTAGTCATAAGTAGTAATGCTTTATGTTAACCATGATAATCTGTACAGTGATTTTTCACTTCTTTGAGTTTATTCTTTTCTTCAAACCTTTCCAGCACTGATCTGCAGTCACTGATGTTTTCAAAGATCAAAATGAAGCAGAAAGTATCCTTGTGTCTTGATTAAATTGTCAGTTAACAGTGTCTACAGATAAAGATAGAATGCTGAAGGTTGTTAAATGAGAGGAAACAGGAAATAGCAGCTTTTTGTTTCTTTGGCTCCAACAAACAGACATCTTTGTACACATAGAAAGAATCTTGGAAATTTTCCACAAATAACTTTTCAAATCGTTACATCAAGTCAGATTTCCAACAATGTGAAAGCAGATACTTTCTCCTGATTATTTCTCTAGATGTACTCAGTATTGATTCTGAGCGACCGTTGTCTCTGCGACACTGGGACCAGTGGGATGTGGACTGGTAGATTCCGGTTCTGCTCCTGCAGATATAGAGAGGAAATCAGCAGCAGCGTTCCCGCCACCAGGTGCAGAACTCCAGCCGTCCAGCCACAGAACAGAGAATCACCGAACTCCCAGCGAGGAACCACATCCGGCACCGACTCATCAAAGAATCGCACCACAGTCAGGTGAGCTATGTAGGAAACTGGAACCAGGACCAGGATTCCAGCTGCAAGGTTCAACGTCCCACCTGCTGTCTTCAGGACCTTCTTGAAGCTTTGGTCATCCACCTTGCGACAACAGCTGTTGATCAGGTTCAGGCCCAGGACGGCTAGCACCGAGCCCATGAGCCCAAAACCCAGAGCTGCACACATCAGAATCCGGGCCAGCTTTATGTCTGGCGGCAGACCCAGCAGGCTGTTGTATGGTCGACATTCCTGCAGGCCCATGTCCTGAATAACGCAGGTCTTCCACAATCCCACCTCCAAACTCTCAGTAGGGAGCAGATCCGTGGAGAGTGTCAGCCAGAACGGCATCATAGTTGTGCACAGAGAGCAAAGCCAGCCCCCTGCTGAGAGCAGAACCCCCAGCAGCTCCACAGTGCCAACACTCCAATCCATGATGGCCTCGGCTGGCAGGTGTCAGGAAGACATCAGTCCCTCTGGAAAAGCAACGCCACCATCCAGAGTGACTGAAAGTATGAGCTGTTCCCCAAACCAGGACACAGTGATTGGTTGAATGCAAACAACAGTGTGCTGCAGGCAGCAGACAGGATGGTACATCTCTGACTGAAAGGCATTTGAAGTACCCCCCGCCTCCCACCCAACCCTCTGCAGCGTCACCAGGCACGCCGCTCTTTTTCCACAGTGTCTGTTGGCTCTTTGTTCTCAGAGAAAACAGGAAACGAGGACAGACAACATGCAGCCTGACTTTCAGGTTCACCAGTTATAGGAGTTTTAGTTTAAAATCATTTGAGGAACCTTTGAGAAACAAAATGGCATCTTTCAGAAGAGAATGATTGAACCCTATTGCAGTGTCAGAAAAATATATGCTCTGCAGGAGGGGAAAATTTTGACTTTTTCCCAATTAAAGAGTTAATGTCATAAGCTGATGGTCAAACTGGTTCAGGAAGTACACTGAAGCAGCGATTGCAATGTGACACAGGGGAACATTAAGAGCACAGGGATGTTGCAGAACTACTGTCCTGCAACATTTGTGTCCTAGTTAAACACAATTCAACAAAATGGCTACATTTGATTTGTGCTTTAGATGGGGCCCAAGCGAAAGTTTCAGGATGGTAACTCTTAAACTAGAGCATGTATCACAGTGAGGGAATGAAAATCAGGAACAAAATCAAGAAAACCCTGAAATAATCAGTGATAATGTCATTACCATTGCTATGTGGCGTCGCAGGTTGTGGCACTGTTGCATTGCCACCAGAAAGTTGTGAGTTTGAATCCCAGTCAGTTAGTAAATTGCTGATCGTTAAAAGTAGAAACACTCCTTTAGCAGATGTGAATAGAAAAAATATACAATTTCATCTCCAAAAACGACAAAGGTAAAAAATGGAACTGAAACAATCAACAGCTACCGTCATTTGTCATACTCTGAGTCAACAGACTCAAAAGCCGATAAAAGCAAAAATGAATAGAAATAAGGAGCAACGACATGTCTACTGTTCAACCAGTGTACCTAAATAGTGAGTTGACAGCTATAAATCGAAAGTAGGAAAGAGGAAAATGGTGTCATTTGAGGATGAAATGGGAGTACAAATTGACCCAGAGCCCGTCACTTATATATTTATCCTCCCACTGAAGGATAAATAAATAAGTGTGTTGTTGGTTTAAAGCTGCTGTACGCCTTTAGTGGGAGCTAATCCAGTTCTGAAAAGCTTTTTTCCTCCCAGCTGCTTCAGACTGCATTCACACTGTACGAGCTTCATCTGCATCACAACGCATTCAGATCAGGCTAATAGCATTACTGGGTCTCACCGGGTTGTTATTCCTGCCATCATTGTCATTCTTATTAGCTTCAACTTTGCCTCGGCCCTACAACGGCAGCTCAGAACTAAACTCATTTTCTACTTTGGTAATTTAGAAGAAAAGAAATGCACTGTTGCATTGTGTTCATGTCATGGGGATAGTTTTACAGAAACATCTCATACGTGAAATACGGAAACACATTGTTAATTTCATCCATATTAATTAAGAAAAGTTGAATATCAGCGGCACACGTTGCATTAGCTGAGATTAGCTGATGTATGGAGCATCAGGGAATCTCATTCACATGGAAAAACACTTCTTACTTCTAATTGGAGGCCAGTTTAAATCCTTCACTCCCTTTAAAACCAGCACTTGTCTTCATCCTCTCACATTAGTTTCCCATGGACCAGCAAGGCAGTGTGAAAGATTTCCTCTGACACTGAGATCATTAATGATATATTTCTGACCTTTCAGAACTATTTGTGAGTCAGTGACTTTCAAGAAATGCCTCACTTCTCCATAACAGGCATAACAGGCGCTGTGACTCCCTTGAAAGAAGAACGCCGCTCAGCATTTTGTATGGATCGGATTCTGGACTTGGATCAGGAAAACCCTGGGAAGAGTCTGAAACTCCACCGACCCTGGACAGGTGAGGAGAATGATTTTCTAACTCACCGTCAGGACTAATCCGTTCTGTTTTCAGTTAGAACAGTCACAACTGTTTGAAGGTTTGACTATTTCTTTACTTTGGTTTACAGGTTGACTTGTTGAATAATTAACAACCTTCATTAAAATATGTTTTTCTTTTAAAAAAGTCTGCAAACCAGTTTATTTTATTGTGATTTATGAAAGTGAAAGAAAAAACATATATGTACATTTTTAATTAATTGTTCTTTTCAGTCTGGAAGTCAAATCAAATTTGAACAGCATGTTGCTATTTTCAAAATGTTTCCAATTCGTCTGTCATTAATCCATTGGTCCATCAATTTGCTTACTTTCTTTTGCGGTACCAGCTTATAAAAATATCTAGAAATATATAAATTCAGATAGAAATCTATAACCAAAGAAGATTCACTCATGCGTATAAACTCTGTCAAGAGTCTGAAAGGTTGTGCTGGAGGTTAGAAGAAGTGTTTTTTTTTTTAGTGGGATGAGATTGAAATAGAAATAAAACTCTTTATATGAGTAAGAACTTCCAGCAGGAACAGGCAGGCTGGTCAGAGTTGATGGTCACTTTGGAATAAAATACTTTTCATGGATTCGTGTCTGAGTTATTTGTTTTTATTTTTATATTAAATCATTTTTTCAAATCTCCTCAGAATTTGAAGCAGAGAGAGGGAGCAGAGAGAAAAGTTTCTGCTGTAAGCAAAACATTCGTGGAACTCCGCTACAGAACCGAACCGGACCCAAACTGAGCTGGTATACTGGACGACGGCCGCGCACGGCCTTCAGCAGCAGCCAGGTGTTCTGTCATCCGTTTAACCTGGAAACTGGGATCTGATCAAGCAGCTTTTTTTTTTTACAAACCCAGTTTTGATTCTGCTTCATCAGGTGAAGGCTCTGGAGACGGTGTTCCGAGTCGATTGCTATCCAGGGATCCAGCTGAGGGAGCAGCTGGCGGGGAGGCTGGATCTGGATGAGGACCGAATCCAGGTTCAGACAGTTTCCTTAAAAATGACATCAACTGTTAAAAAAGACGAAGGTCTCCAAGTTTGTAGATGCATGGAGACTTAAAAGTAGCCAAACAGATGCTTTTAAGCACATGTTGCTACTTAAAGACATGCAAGTACTAAAAGTGTGAGACAAAAAGTGATGCTAAAGACGAGTTACGAGATCGTTTCTTATCAGATATGGTTCCAGAACAGACGAGCAAAACTGAGGCGTTCACTCAGAGAAAACCGACTGCAGCTGGTTCAGACGGCCATGAAGGAGCTGAAAATGAGGCCGGAGACTGGAGAGCACCAAGAGGAGCCGCCGCGTCGCCTTCCTCCTCACTTTGATGCAGAGGATGAGTGATCAAGTTCTCACTGTCTGCAGAAGGCGCTCGCATGGCTGCTTCATTCTTCCGTCAACACAATTTACCAGGAATGTGAGCTGAGTCTTATTAGCTGTGTACTGAATTAGGAATAAAAATACCTTTTATGTTATCTGCGTTTTTAATCCCACATTTTCACTGACATCCTCTTTGTCAAAGAATGAGACAACTGTTTGATACACGACATTTTCAACAGTATTAAAACATTTACTAATTTTTAAACACATGCAAAACAGATTTATATTGGTGCATAAAATTGATTTCTGATGGAAAAAGCAGCATTTTCATACAGGCTATATGTTTTCTAGGAGGCACAACGGCCGTATGCATTCTAAATGTTTGAGATATTTGCCAAGGACATGAACAGACTTTTCATGCATGATCTACAGATGGCTTCCTGGATTGTACAACAGAGGGACATTTGCTTCAAAACTACAATTCATGAAAACGTACAGCATGCATACGCAGACACACACGCTGGCTGCTGCAGCCAGTTTTCTGACGTCATCAAAACGTCAGAAACAGAATTTGCTTGAAATTGACGTTTTAGCGTCACATCATGGTTCCTGAATTATTTCTTAAACGTTAGGTCCAAGATCACATTCTGAACACATTTACAAGTGTATTAAAAAAAAAATCACAATATTGTGTAGCAGTTTAATATTTTTGTGACTCAGAGCAATAAATCTATAAAAGAAACATAAATTCATTATTCTCGATATATTTTGCAGGCTTTTATTTCTTGTAATTTTGGTGATTATGGAAGAATAAAAATCCACCAGAATACCTCAGCAGATCACAGGCTGATCTGCTCCATGCTCAGCTGAATTTATGCAGCAATTTGTGCAAAAGGAGATCCAACTAAGTATTGAATGTAATAAATAAATAATTAACGCATTTTCCAGAAGTCTGACATTTTTGTTTAAAACTTTCGAAGTTTCTGATTTTCAGACTTCATTCTGTGTCTCATTATGTAAATGTAAGGAACCAGTTTTTGAGCTGAAGGTTGAACCCCCATGAAACTTTAAAATACCCCACAACTCTGTTGAATCCTGAAACCCTCCTTCTTAACTCAGTCAGGTCTTCACTGCTGCTACATCAGGAGGTTGAGGTCATGCAGGCTGGACTGCATGACCTCAGTTCCTGAGCAGGAACTGAGGAAATTTTCAGAATAAGAGTTGAAACAGCAGCTCAGGCTTTCAGGAAGAGCAGTGCATACACACAAAAATAAGTGTATTTACTTTAGAAATGACTTTTTATTGTAAGCTATTTCCATATATTTTTTAGCTTTTTTTTAGACTGAAAATATAAAGTCCACTAAGGAAACACTGACAAAAATAAATAGCCATAACTGGAGCAGTGCAGAAAGTTTATAATAAAGAAAGGAAGAAGCACATTGAGGAATGTTTCAAAGCGTATTCAGACGATCAGTGTGAGCTCTCACTTTGCTTTGCAATGCTCTGGTGCCCAGGAGTCTGAAAGGTGCGGCTGGTTGCAGGGCCTTCGCCCTCGGCCGAGATGACCCGAACCTCCAGGCGGTACACACTGGCAGGCTGCAAGCCCGATACAATCAGAACATTACTGTCCTGAAACAAGAAGCCAGGCATCAGTTGGGATGGAAAAATTACCAACTGTTCTACATTTACAAGCCTAATAAATCATTAGAGGTCATCTTTGTGCGACCAAAGAAGTTTACTGACCGGAGGTAAGATCTGAGACTGAGAGATCAGGCTGTGAGGCGACTTCCTGTTGCTGTGGCGTTTGGGCGAAACAACCTCCATCCATGTTGCCTGGTAACCAAGCAGCTGCTGGTTGGAAAGAGTCACGGCCAAATCCCAGCTAAAGATGGCCGACACGTTGTCACGGTGAGCTTGAAACGACGCTGTCAGGTTGACAACCTTCATGCGGATGAACTCCGGTGGCTCAGCTGGAAGAGCGGATCAAACAGGGAATGTTAGACTTTATTTTGAATTATGAGAAAAGTCAGAATATTATTAGAATAAAGACGGAATATAACCAAAAGTTGCAAATTTACTGGAAATAAGTTGTGCAAAGCTTTGTTTAATCTAATATGACCAGCTTGTCCATGTGTTGATTCAAAGTCCTGCTGATGTGTTAAAAGATGAAGTATTTCTATATTTGTAAACTTCAACATTCCTCATTTCATTTTAAATGTTTCGCTTAGGAGTTCAAGTGAATTCTGATGCAGACTGATTAAACACTGTTTTTTAATTTTTCGCTGTACTAATAGACATATCATACCCGTCTCTCCAGCACAGTGGATGGGTTTGGGGCTCTTAGCCTGGATGCCGGAACAGGAAGGAGTGAAGAAACTGGAGCTTGCTGCTGGAGGACGACTCTTTGAGCTGACTGGCTGCAGAACGACTTTGTACTTACAGGAGAAGAGCAGGCCTTGCAGACTGACAAAGTTCTTCTAAATCAGAGAGAGGGCATAAAAGTGCAATTTTCCCTAATTAAACATTCCGTTCTTTGAGAGGGGAGTTTGCTGGTGAGGAAAATGAAAAGCAATTCCTGCTTTTTCTTGAGAACAATCCTGCCATGACAGGAAAATGGTAGCTCACTCTTGTTCTGGTCTTCTCTGTGGGTTTGGTAAGGTTGTGTGTGCAGCTCTCAGGTCCCCAGCGAAGTCTGTAGAATTCAACTGAAGAATCTACAAAATGAAAAAAAAATCACATTAATGTTGTGGTGGAAAAGAAAAACGCTCAAGGAACGAGAAATGAAGATATTTTAACAGGAGCTAAACTGGATTACTTCAAGTTTAAAATTAAAGTAATTTGTGAATACTATATGTTAAAACTTAGCTATATTTACATGAAGTGATTAAAAACAACATGAGGTTTTGGGAAATCATGTTCAGTTTCAGGTCAGAGGTCAGACGGACATATTTTAGGCAACATCTCAAACACACTGCATCTGTTCCAGTGATTATATAACTAATTCTCAGACCATACCAACCTGAACTGGTCTGCCAGTACACATGAACACGTAGCTGACCGTCCTGGTAGAACGGAGTCCCAACGTCTAGAATGCCGCCTGCAGGATGTGGTGGTGCGGGACTGAAAGCTTCGACAGGAAACATGAGCAATTCATTGAAACATTTTTAAAAATGTGTGTGGAAAGAAAAGAGTTTGCTTTGTTATGTGGCTTTCAAATATTCATAATTACTCCTCTGGGTGATGAAATGGAGAACAGCTGGAGGACCTTTGAGCTCTGTTTGTCCCCAGTGGGACACACCTTGGACCTCCACACTGTACTTCCTGTTGGACCTCATGCTGCTCAGCTCCACCTGGTTCTTCAGAGACACAGACAAGCAAACTTGTAGAAGTAAGTAAGCAACTTGGCTAAAGCAAAAAGTATTAATGCATCACACTGTCAGCTTGGAAACAATATTTTAAATTTTGAGGAATAATCATTTATTCCCGTATTTCCCAGCTCTTACCTCTCTGACTGTCTTCCTCCTCTTGGTCACGGATGAGTGTCCAGCTGCTGTCCAGCTCCAGCTGACCTTGTAGTGGTGGACGGGAACGTCCAGGTCTGTCGGAATGTCCCAGATGATCCTTGCTCTCACGAGTCTGCCAGGGCCAAAGTTCATGTCGGCAACTCTCAGCTCAGACGGGGCCGGCGGACTGGAGGGGTCTGAGTTTGAACAGGGTTCTTATTTTCACACAATGCATTGGCTTAATGAACGAACTACAGACTTTAGCTGGCGTGTAATATGTCAGGAACAACAGATTTACAGTGTGACCTCTGTTAGTGCGGATGTGTTTGCTCGGAGTGGTGAAACCTCTGGTCCCATGGAGGTTTACAGCCGCCACTCTGAACTGATACCAACGACCAGGCCGGCTGTCAGACAGACTCGCCCCCAACTCTGTGGTCTGGGGTAGATTGAGACGAGAAACAGCAGAAAATACGATGTAAAGTGAAGCTCCTACTAAAAATCTAAAGCCTTGAAATGTAAAGTTTTCCCCACAGATTGTTTGCATTCATTTCTGTTGGTGTCAGAGAACTGACCTGAGTCTCTTCCTCCCAGGGGGTGGCGGTGTCCTCACCGGGCTGGATGCCAAAGTTCCACCTCCTCTGCAGAATGTAGACCACTGGCTCGGAGGAGGCGTTCAAACGGGACGACCAGCTGACGGTCAGGTGCCCGGAGGGAGATTCCTCAAAGCTCAGGTCCTTCTTTGGTTTCAGAGGAACACCTGGATGCAACATTTACAGAAAATTGTTTTTTAAAGACAAAAATTTGAGGGTAGAACAGCGTTTTTGTGTTCTAAACTGCTTTGTCATGTTAATTTTGAGAAAACGGCAGCGTTCACTCAAGATCAATATCGAACCGACAAAGTTTCAGATAATTTGGTATGCAGGGGGATTTGTCCGCTTGGATGACCAGTGTCCAAGATTTCCTGGTTGATGTCGCTTCATAATTTCCTCGTGATGTCACAAAAAGAAGCAGAGAGGTGTTGTCTTAAAATGTAAATGTACATGTAAAACTTCAATCAACTAAAATATTGCGAATAAACCTATCAGGCATATCATTTTACTTTTTTTTTTTTTTTTTTAAGAGTACCCTTGTATAGGTCTTTGGGAGGCTGGCAGGTGTGTCCACAACCATTGAAGCAGCACTTCTTCTGCATAGAGCATTGCTTGTCATGGTCACAACCTGCTATGCACGCGGCTGCAAACCCACTGGCTCCCTCTGGTGGTGGACAGCTGCCCTGCTTCGCTGCCAGGACTGAGTGAAGGAAGTGACAGCTGGCCACACACTCCCACTGCTTCCTCTGAAGCACCTGCTGCATAGTTAAAGTGTATTAATTGGTCAAAATCCTTTTGATAATACATTAAAACACAGAAAAGATGGATTGTATGTAGCAGCTTACCTCACAAAGTTCTCTGCAGTCACTTCTCTTCTTCATCTTCCAGTCATGCACGCATGGCTTCAGACACTGTGGACATAATGGTAATCATATTGTTGTGGTAAATAATTTAGCTGGATTTACATCAGTTTAGTTCTCCTAACTGACAGTTAAAGTTGCTCTAAATTTATTAGACTGAGGGAAATAACAAAGCTCTTTCCTCTGGCTACTTCTGCAGCCCACAGAGTTAACAGCATGGACACTATGGTGTAATTTTATGCTGTAATGAGAAACAGTGGGAATGAAACATCACAAGGACATGAGAGTGAGTCATCTTAAAGTTGTAGAAGCAATCTGAATATTTTTCAATCATTTTTGCTGAACTTTCTTAAAAATATATATACAACTGTTATGAATTGTGTTATGAGTTTAATTGGAGGGAACAACTCTTTAGCAATGCATTGCAAAAGTTGCTATGTGTTACGTTTTTACTATGGAACATTTTCCTTCAGTTCTATCCTCAGACGCCAATTCCAAATGGAAATTGGCATATCAAGTCTGTAATGACACAATATTCTCAGACTCAACTTTTGAAAACCCAAAGGGCAAAAACAGAAATATAAAGGAACTACACTAAAGTCAGACTGGTAGCCGCTTTGCAACCCTGCCATCTCCAATTTCTCCTCACTGATCTGCCTGCAGCATGTCCACAAAATACAGAATGACATTCCTGCCGCTGCCCCATTTTTCAATCTAATTTTGTTTTCTGCTTCATTTCCTCTTTATATCATCTCACTCCGCTGAAATAAGACAAGAGAGAACTTTGTGAGGAACATCCTGAAGGTTTTTCACGTGTTTTCTGTAGAAAGTAGAATGCTGTTTAAGCTATTTTTTAAAACCTTAATTTATTCTTTACATTCTTTTATCACAAGGTAGGTGACGCATTATCATAACCGGATGCAATTTTTGTAACATGTATGATACAAACGGCAGTAAAGATTAAAAATGTAATGTACTTGTTTCCTACCTGGGAGCACTGTTTGTTACCATGGCACCAACCCAGCGATCCATTACCCTGAGGAGAACAAGATGGAGGACAAAGGCAAAAAGTTGGTCTTTGTACACATACAGTATACAGGAAAATGTTACAACTCCTTTTGTCTAAAAAAGACTAATCACAGCTGTTTTTGTCTGTCACACCAGTCTGGCTAATTGCTGTAAATGGATTTAACTTAGGAAAGAATGTGATAACGGTTGATATCTGACAATAATGTGATCGTTTTGGCCACTTGAAATGTAAAAAGTATCACAAAAATTTGTAGAAACACACATTTGTTTGACATTTCGGCAGTTTTTCCTGATCAAAAAGTGTATTGGTACACTTCACACATCGACTCTTAGCTTTCACCTTAATATGCACTTTCACTGTTGCTTTGAATGTAACATGCATGATTTTATATGATGTTAGAACAGATCTCTCTTAAATGCAAAAAAACAGAAAAAAGATGCATATTTTTGCACCTAAACATTTACTGAAAATAACACCTTAAAGTTCTAAACTTACTCAAGTCCTGGTTTCCCAAAGTGCATCCTTTCCAAATGGATATCATTTGGTAAGTGCATCCTTACCAAATGATACTTTCAGCTTTTTATGACAGTTTGAATTGGTTGATTTGCAGCATTGTGGTTATTTACCTCAGCTGCCTGAGCTGCATTTAGATATATATATTGAAAAAAATCCAGTAAAAGCAAAAATACCTGTGAATACTGAATAAAGAATCGGACCAGGTCCACTTTACTTTGCCTTTTCAGGACAAAGTGTGAATAAATTTTTTATTCACACTTTTGTGGACAATCTTTAAATGTAATACCTGTGACAGATTCATTTTATTATGTTGGTCCAGCTCCTAGTTGGTGCTATGTTGGAACCAGAGTCAGAGCTCAGGTCTAAAGATAAAAATTTGATAAATTCCTGTCATTTTATAACTGAAACATTTAATAAATTAACAAAATGTGAAATGTTATTGGCTTACACATTGTCAGTGCACTAACAGCACCAGAATGAGAGCGTATTAAACACTGACCCAGCATATCAATAAATAAATAGAGCGTAAAGCGAAAGAGAGCTGAGTCGAATAATGTCCTGCTGGGCTTCAGGACTGAAGGGACGGCTCACTCTGTCAGGACTAACAGCCAAGCTTCAGAACCGTGTCACTGCATGCGCCGGTGCACACGGCACGTGCCATTGCATGCTCTTGACCTGGCAGGAACAGAACCACTGGATGAAATACCGTCCTAAAATTTAGGGGGTTTAATATGTTTGAGATGACGGACATCATCATGTCAATGAACCCAAGATATAGAACTTAATTTGGATGAAATGATTGCAGTGTCACTTCTTTTATTTATTGGTAGAGTCTGAAAGATTGAAGTAATTTTACTTTAAACATAAGCAATTTATTTTTAATTTCAAATTTCAGTCACTTATTTTTTTCAAATATTGCCGGAATGACAGGATTCTACAAAGCTATTAGAATACACACCTCATAATTGATCTGCTGACTAAAACAAAGTGTCCTGTCCTTACCTTCAAGAGAATAAGGGGTGCAGCCATGCTGTGCAGGCTCAGGCAGCGGGACACACACCTTGCCCTGAAAACACTTTTTGACCCAGAGTCCCCTTCATCAGCAGCAGCGTACCGTTTTCCAGCACACACACCGCTGCCACAGAGTACAACAATCCACAGAACCAAGCTCATCCAGGTACCTCTGCTCAGCCTCTGCATCTTCCTTCCTGCTCTGAGGAGAAGTGAGCAGATCTGAGCATCACAAAGCCCAACAGTAAGCTTCCAGCTAAGGGTGGAGCTACAGAGGGAGCACAGTCAGGGTCATGATGGTGAAGGGCTTTCTGTGATCACAGTGTGCTGCATTTTGAATTGTCCAAAATGAAAACTAAAACACTGATTTTATGGTAAAATGTTTCCCTTCTTCCCTCATTCGTGAACAAGATCCTGAGATACTGGAACTCCTCCACTTGAGACAGGACATCCTCCCCAACCCGGAGAAGGCACTCTACTCTTTTCTGGCTCAAGACCATGGTCTCGTATTTGGAGGCACTGATCCTCATCCCGGCAGCCGCTTCACACTTGACTGCGAACTGCTCCAGCGAGAGCTGCAGATCACATCCCGATGAAACCAACACAACCACATCATCCGCAAAAAGCAGAGATGTGATCCTAAGGCCACCAAAACAGATCCCCTCAACACCTCGGCTGCGCCTAGAAATTCTGTCCATGAAAGTAATGAACAGAATCAGGGACCAAGGGCAGCCCTGGCGAAGTTCAACTCTCACTAGAAATAAACGCGATTTATTGCCGGCAATGCGGACCAGACTCCGACACCAGTCATACAGGGACCTGACAGCCTGTATCAAAGGTACCCCATACTCCCGGAGAACCCCCTACAGGGCTCCCCGAGGGACACGGTTGAACGCCTTCTCCAAGTCCACAAAAGACATGTGGACCAGTTGGGCAAACTCCCATGCACCCTCCAGGACCCTGCTGAGGTTGTAGAGCTGGTCCAGTGTTCCACGACCTGGACGAAAACCACACTGTTCTTCCTGAATCCGAGGTTCGACTCGTCCCCAAAGATTGGAGAGCCCAACCCAGAGTCCCCAGGCTCAGCTTCCTCAATGGAAGGCATGTTGGTGGGATTGAGGAGGTCTTCGAAGTATTCTGCCCACCTGGCCACAATGTCTCGAGTCGAGGTCAGTGTTGTACAGGGGAAAATATGATTGTGCTTTCTTTTATGGTTAATCATTGTTTTTGTGCTTTGCATGTATAGATTATTTTTTGGGTTTGTTGCTTTTCTTTTTCCTTTTTCCCCTTTAACAATCCAAACGCACTAGACTGAAGACGGGGGTTGTCTAGGGAGACGGAAAGCACTAATTGGCCACCTATACAGGTGTCAGCCAAGGCTGATTAAAATAAAAGGAGGCTGGATGGGCAGAGGGCAGAGAAGAAAACTGGTTCTGCAGCCCACAAAAACTGACACGCTGCGGAGCGAGGGGCAGACGGAACCTGCACGTCAGGTGCAGAATATCGGGAGTTGCTGGACCATCGTGCAGTCTTCGGGCTGCACTTCGTCTGGTCCCTCACCATCATTATTGATCATCTCATACATAAAGAGCTGTTAACTACAAAGTAAGCCCTGACACACAGCCATGTTCATGGACTGACTGAAGGAGCTTTCTAGAATTAAAAACACATCGTTTCAGGTTTGATATGTTTTATAAAGTATGGCTTTGTCACTCATAAAATACAGCACAAATTTTCATTAACATTTTCAGTTTTGATAGAGAATTCACGAAGACAAACATTCTAACCACAAAGATTTTGCAGTCGAGGCAGTTCTCTTCTGCCTGTAAGATTGTGGGTTGAGAAGTCTTTTCTGCACAGATACTCAGATTTAAATGTGTTCTGGTCTACAGCAAAATATCCATGCTTTTACTTCCCCTTTGCCTAATTATACATGGAAGTGGAATTATGTGAAAGAAAGAAAAAAAAAACTACTTTTGTTCAGAACTTATGTCTACAGTCACTTGTCCTTGCAGGGTCTCATCCATTGCAACTGAAGAACGAATGCTGGTGAAAGAATCAACTCAACAAAGTAAAGATATAAATGAGAAACACACATACACAAGTGTGATCAAACACATACATGTTTATTTGTTTGTCTTTGGGAAACCCTATACTGTCATCAGATTCAAATTATTCATACTGATTCGTTGATTCAAAGTTGCCGTTGATTCCAACAGCTGAAGTAGTTTCTGATTTTAATGCAACAGTAATATGAAGCCTGTATAGAAACTCAGTGGCTTCAGGTTGCTGTGAAGAGGCTCAGTTGCAGAGGTCGGTGCTGCAGCATATTGCATACGCTCCTGGTGTGGAGATGAAGCCCCGACACACGGCCATGTTCATGCACTGGCGAAAGGAGCTTTCTAGAATTAAAAATACATTGTTTTAGATTTTGATATGTTTTATAAAATATGGCTTTGTCACTCATAAAATAAAGTACAATGTTGAGCAGCAGTTTTTATAGAGAACTCACGGACTGGGCCTGTAAGGATGACAGCACCACAGGCATCTTGTCCTACTGGACAAGTCTGGATGCTGGTGGGGGTGCAGAGTTCACTGGACCAGGAGAAACATGATTTACATCTCAGCGCGTCTCCTGGAAATGACACACATAAAAAGAATTTCACAACTAATAGCTATGGCGTTTTGTAGACCATTGATTCTACAGAGAAGCTTGTTTGAGACTTCGGACTTTGAAGAAAATAATTAAACCTTCTGTGCCAATTGTTTTGACTTTCAGAAAGTAGAAATCATTTTGTGACTTAGAAAAATTGTTATATCTGTTTTGAACTGTAACAGTAATTATTGATCCATAATGAATGCAACTCTTTCATAGTATTTAGTAAAATTTCAGAATGACCTTAAATGAAAAAGGCCATACAATGACATTATGCTCATGCTGTGCGGCTCTGTTAAAGTTTTGTCTCTGTTGGGTCTCACTTTAGGTTGAAACAGGGAAGCGATACATGCTTACCTTGGTGCAGAGTCATCAAGAGAAAGAAAACACCCGCTACAAACCTCATTGTCAGTCTGCAAAAAAGAGAGTGAAACTAAAAGTAAGCAGTGTTCTTCAGTTGGACCTGCGCAGGTCAATCTAGTCCAGTTCACTTTTTGCAGAAATTCATGGCAAACAGCAGCAACAATTGATTGATGAACAGTCATGGGTTTGAAGACCCAACCTGCAGAAATGCCATATTGGAAGCTGACTGGATGAGAAACAGACATCGGAGACTAACGCATGGCTTCTAAAAACTTCAGCTGACTCAGATTTGTCTCCAAAAAACTTAAGACTTGACTTGGATTCACTGTTGAAGATTTTCCACTTGAGATGGACTTGCTTGACAAAAACCTGACACTTGTCTAATCCATGTCAATAACAACAAGTCAAAGACAGCAGGGTTTAACTAGACAATATATTGTTACTCTTTCTAACTAGTTTCTGTACAAGATGGAACTCAAGACCATGAGGAAGTTAACACTGAAGCCTTTTAACTAGTTTACCTTAAGATCAGGACCATTAGTGAGTATGGTGCAGTATAACATAAATACATGTGTGTAATGCAACTACTCATCTCACATTAATGTTCCTCAATTATTTACAATAACAGTGATAGCATTAAAAACATGGAGGACAAAGAGAATAAAGACAGCGAACCAAGGAAAGTCAATCTGAAACACTGTCTGTGGAGCTCTCACAAGTGAAGCTGCATTAAGAAAAACATTCTAAAAACAAAGATTTTGCAGTCGAAGTTTTCTTCTACCTGTTAGCTGGTGGGTTGAGAAGTCTTTTCTGTACAGATGCTCAGATTGAAATGTTCTTGTCTTCAGTAACAAATCCATGCTTTTGCTTTCACTCTGTCTAATTATGCAGTTACATCAACCACATGTGCCTGCCTTGTCTAAGATAGAATGTGATTGGTTAGGAAGTGGAATTTCATGAAAGAAAAAAAAAACACAAACCACTTTTGTTCAGAACTTTTATCTACATCCACTTGTCCTTGCGGGGTCTCATCCACTGCAACTGAAGAACTAATGCTGATGAAAGAACCAACTTAACAAAGCAAGGATATAAATGAGAAACACACATACACAAGTGTGATCTAACACATACATGTTTATTTGTTTAAAATCAGAAAATGAAGTAGTTTCTGATTTTAATGCAACAGTAATATGAAGCCTGTATAGAAATCAGTGGCTTCAGGTTGCTGTGAAGAGGCTCAGTTGCAGAGGTTGGTGCTGCAGCATATTGCATACGCTCCTGGTGTGGAGATGAAGCCCTGGCATACGGCCATGTTCATGCACTGGCGAAAGGAGCTGCCTGAAATCAGAAAACCAACGAGAAACATGTCTGAGCAGTAGCACTTCTGCATTTTAAAAGACAAAATAAACCAGTTTATATTCTAATGATCAGAATGAATGTTCAAACAAATTATGCTGCTCTTCTTGAGTACTCACTGATGGCGCCTGTTAGGATGACAGCACCACATGCATTCTGGTTTCTTGAGCATGTCTGAGTGCCGGTGGGCTGGCAGAGCGAACTGCTGGAGGAGTAACAGTAGTTACATTCCAAGGCCTCTCCTGGGAAATACCAGTAAATATGGAAATGGATTAGCAATGAACAATGTCTCTAAAGTGTGGAAATCTGCTCACATTTGTATAAGCTGTCTGCTATTAGGGACGTCCAAAAGTTTTCAGACACGGACTGTGTTCGTGTCCTCACCTTGACAGAGAGTCAGCAAGAAGAAGAAAACGCCCACTGCACGCCTCATTTTATCTGTAAAAAACAAAATTCCAGAAAATTCCAGGTTCCAGAAAACATATTTGTCCTCACCTCATATGAGTAACAGAACCTTTAATTTACCCCCAGCTTTGTGATAAAAAAGTTTGGAAGCAGAGAGGATTTTTAGACCACACAGGCCAAATGTCAGGTTTCTGTAATTTAATAAACTGAATCAGTAATAAGTTATCCAAATTTTGTGTGATATTTAATAATTTAACATGACAGAGAGACAAAAATGTAACAAGTAAAGTTGATTGTACTATTCTCATTGCTGTCAAGAAATTAGATTCATTCAAAAGCTCTTGATTTTATTCTATTCTATTCAAATCTAAGTCCAAGAAAACACACAAAATATATTTTTTTGTGTTCTTTATAATAATGT